CTAATATTGTCATTCATGAGTTTTAAATCAACATTCTCTTCATACTGACCATCCTTTTTTTTCAGGAAAAGAAGAAGTATTTATTTTCATTCAACTTTGTAGCCCTGGGGTTTGTGCTCCCTCAGCTAGAACAGGTGAATATCTTATGTTACCTTGTAATTTAATTGATGATGAGAGGTTATTTAAATTAAAATTTGAAAGGAAGTCCCTTAGGTATAGGTAAATTKCAGGTTGTCATCACTTTGATTTGTCAGTTACAGTAGCTGTGCCCTGACTTTCATCAGCCTAGAGGTTCTTTCAGGGTTCTACAGCTATGAGTTAGCTGTGCCCAGACTTTGGTCAGCCCAGAGGTTGTTGCAGGATAGCATAAAGATAGCATTTGATAACAGTTATTGTAATAATACTTTGTAGTCCAAATCACGTTTTATTACATTGCTACTGTATACTTTTTTTTACAATTCTTTTTATTTATTTAGAACTATACATTTGTTATATGCAACAGAATTGTAGGAATAATTTGATCACATGAATAATGTTTTTTGTATATGATTCTGCAAGTCTAAATGTTTAGTTTAGTAACCGAGACTGTTTTGACTTGGAGATCTACTTGTAGTTTCCTGTTCTAAAAACCTCTTTCAAATTAACCTAAACATTCAAACCACCAAGGCTGAACTTGTCTAGATACATGATGATGATTGCCTGGTTATATGAGGATAAGCAGGACCCCTCTGGATATCAGCCAGGTAGCGGAATGGGCAACCCTGTTTAAATAAAGTCTTTGATTGATTGAGCAATGTATCTATTTCTGTGCATTCAATCTTGTACTTAGTTGTGAATAAGGCTAAGGTTGTAGTTTGGGTTGTACTGGGAGGTACAGACCTAAGTAAGGACAGTTGACAAGTAAAGGAATCCCGACTGACAGCCACACCGACTAAGGAAAGTCCTTCTGGTCAACCTGACTCTGCTCTAGTTTGTGTAGTTAGATCTGACACTCAACTTGTATAAACGTCTAAGACGAGGTTCAATAAAACGAGTGTGGCTCAACAGACCAGAGATCCCTTGCATTCCATAGTCTTACACATTCATCACATTGCTATACTTGCTTATTAGCCGATGCAAACCAGTAAATTTCACATATCTAATCATTAAACTCGTTTCTTGCAGCTTAACAGGGCATCAACCYTGACCCCAGCTGACCAGTTGACCATGGTGAGTTGAACCTTCATATCTCCACCTTTACAGACATGGGTAGAAACGCACCACATATGCTTGGAAGTTCATCATTCGTATAATGCAAATTTCTCTCACTTTATTTGATCAGGGGAAGAAAAAATTTAAAGCGATGTGTTAGGAAAATAATAAGCACCAACTTTCCATGTTAAAGATTTACCAAACGCCATGAAATCTCCARTGGTTTTATTTGTAAACACGATGCACCTAAGRATTTTCCACTGAACTTCAGAGCATGTGCAGTGCCTTTTTCAGCTGTRTCACCTGTACACGTGTAGTTATTTAATATCCTTGCAACGCATACCAGACCTCTTGGCTMTGATTGGTTCCATACAGTAGTTGTCATTGATTCTATACTCTAGTTTTCTGTTCATGCGGTGTTTTTTTTTTCCATGTTCATACGTTTTGATAATTGATGTGTCGTGATTAAATTTTCACTATCTGTAGTTCCTCTTTTCAAACTTGACATTGAATTTTCTATTCAGGTGAATACAATTGTCCAGTCAAGGCAGTCTAAAGTTACATTTAACACTAGCTGGTAAATATTTCATTGCGCATTCACTGCTTTTGGTATGCTATTTGCCATTTAATACAAAATATATTGTAACTTTTACTACCTCAACAGGCTGGAAGACTTTTACGAGAAAATTGTAATAGAGACTTCAGGTAAGAGAGACAAGTCTATTTAACAAATCGCTCCAGGATTTCTATTGTCTGTCCACTTATTGATCAKCTATGTTCAATAAGAGGACTGACAATGGAAATCTATGAGCAATTTGTCTTTTACAATAAAATAATAATAAAAACATCTAAAAACAAGGAAGAAGGTTAAAAGAAAAGCGGTTTCAAGCGCGCGCTGGATCGATCCGTGAGTGAGCAATTCGTCATTCTATGTGTCTGTTCTCTTATTGATCATAGCTGTCAGCCAATCAAATTGCGAGAATATGCTCTGTTGTTGTAAAATAACTATTAACTATGGTTTGGGAGAGAATGGGACCTCCTAAACTTCTTCTCTGACAAGTAAACTCCAGCCATTATAGAATAACATCTTTTTAATGTGTCTTGTTCAGCTAAGAGGATCACTCCCCTGGTCTGTAATCCTGGCCGTGTGATGCTAACATGTTCTCGGCTGTATTTCCAGCCATTCAACAATGCGGATCC